GGAATAAAATTAGCATCTTTTTTACTTACCTGCACAAATTCATATTTACCCTGAGTGGTTACCTTCAAGGCTGCTGTGGAAATGGGTTTGTTTTTGTTTTCTGTTTTTTTGTAGAACTTTAGTATTACAAGAATCCTTGAAGTTAACAGCACCTTTGAAATCTACAGGCTATTTGGAACATATTTCTTTAATTTAAAAAATTTAAAAAACAGTACTCAAAACATGCTTAATAAAAATGTTCCAGGTATGCTTATAAGGGAACAATTTAAAATAATCTAAAACTCATAGGGTCAGGCGTTCAAGTGAGGACTAAATTATTACTTTTCATCTGTTTGTGACAACATAAGATATATATAACTGTATGACCTAATTTATTCCAACTTTGTTCTTGGCTAGCATAAAACACTAACTTTAATAAGTAACAGTATTAAACTGAAAGATCTTTTATCTATTTAAAAATAGGCTCTCAGGGGTTTCTACGCACCCCTGCCTTTCCAATACAGGACGAGCAACGGAACAGTGAGGTAACAGTCTCACTGGCCCCGGGAAAGGTCTTCCTCATTATTAGTCACACAATGATAAAGACACAGAAAATGTAGGAATTAACAGCATTTGCAAAAACAAAGTGTGATTCAAAAAAGCCCCAGATTAAGTATGCAAATAGTGAAATACACAATCAAGCCAGCGATGACTCAACAGTGGCTACTCACTTGTCTCAGCCCCAGCGTCTTGGTGTCCCACATCTGCTTTATGTTCCAGAAAAAGGGCTGCTCACATTTCTGACAAGAATCACTTTCCAACCACTGAGGAGCCTGGGGGAGCAGAAAGTCAAAGCCAACATCAGTGTGTCTACGTTTACCTCCGCGTTTCAAAATTAATACGACAGTTCTAGACCTTGCCGGGGTTAGTCTTTCTTTTCTTCTTTTTTTTTTTTTTTGTCACCCAGGTTGGAGTGCAGTATGTGATCTCGGCTCACTGCAACCTCCGCCTCCTGGGTTCAAGTGACTCTACTGCCTCAGTCTCCCAAGTGGCTGGGACTACAGGCATGCACTACCATGCCAGGCTAATTTCTGTATTTTTAGTAGACTTGGGGTTTTGCCATGTTGGCCAGGCTGGTCTCAAACTCCTGACCTCCCAAAGTGCTAGGATTATAACCGTGAGCAGCCATGCCCAGCCAGTTAGTATTTCTTTTTAATTCCACAAAATATTCTAGCTAGTTGTCATATTCAATAGTATGTTTAATTACTCAATATTATGTTTAATTGTGTGTGTGCGGGAGGGTCTTTTTTGAGACAGGGTCTCACTCTGCCACCCAGGCTAGAGTGCAGTGTCGTGAATGTGGCTCACTGCAACCTTGACCTCTCAGGCTCAAATGATCCTCCTGCCTCAGCCTCCCGAATAGCTAGGGCCACAGGTGTGTGTCACCATGCCAGCTACTTTTTTATTTTTATTTTTTTTGTAGAGACGGGGTCTCACTATGTTTCCCAGGCTCATTTTGAACTCCTGGCTTCAAGTAATCCTTCTGTCTCAGCCCCACAAAGCACTGGGATTACAGTCATGAGCCATTGCGCCCAGCCTTAATTGTGTGTTAAGTAATCATGACAATTTTAGCCACGGTTACAGGGTTGTTCAATTTGTAATCTATAGATAGGAGGGAGTAAATCAGTTTTTATTGTGACCCCTTAAGGGTTGTCTTTATGTATTTCTTTTTTATGCTGGAGATGTTTGAACTCTAAATCCAGTTGAGTAAAAACCCAATGCATGCAGCAGAATCTGGTGACCTACCACTGGGAAAGGCTTGCAGGGTCACAGGTGACTAATAGAAGAGATCGACAAAATCCCATCACCTAGTTGCTCTGGGTAGGGACTATGCCGGCAGATTTGCCACCCTTCCCTTCCCAGCCACAGCAGCAGGTCCCTCCCTCCTGGGGCCACACAGGAGTCCTGCAGCCTTCACTGGGCAGCAAGCTCTGGTTTTGTAGATCTTGGTGTACGTTTCTTCTCCCCTCTAACCAGTGAGTTACTTTTTGGTATTATTCATCTTGATCTATCCACAGCCTGTCACACAGTAGGTTCTTAATGCTTTTTTGTTGAAATAGAAGAAGTAGTCTCAAAATTAATTTGTTAAAAAACTTAGAAAATAGGCCAAGTGTGGTGGCTCACGCCTGTAATCTCAGCACTTTGGGAGGCCGAGGCAGGCGGATCACCTGAGGTCGGGAGCTCAAGCCTGGCCAACATGGTGAAACCCCGTCTCTACTAAAAATACAAAAATTAGCCAGACATGGTGGCGCACACCTGTAATCCCAGCTACTTGGGAGGCTGAGGCAGAAGAATCACTTGAACCCAGGAGGCCTAGGTTGTAGCAAGCCAAGATCGCACCATTGCACCCTAGTCTAGGCAACAAGAGCAAGACTCAGTCTCAAAAAAAACAAAACAAAACAAAAAGTTAAAAATATTTCTCTAAACAAAAAATTACAAACTATATCCAATTCTAAGACAAACCTGTTAAAAGCCTGTTTAGGCCGGGCGCAGTGGCTAACACCTGTAATCCCAGCACTTTGGGAGGCCAAGGCAGGCAGATTACCTGAGGTCAGGAGTTCAAGACCAGCTTGGCCAACATGGTGAAACTCCATCTCTACTAAAAATACAAAATTAGCCAGGCATGGTGGCACACGCCTATAATCCCAGCTACTTAGGAGGCTGAGGTGGGAAAATGGCTTGAAACCGGGAGGTGGAGGTTGCAGTGAGCAGAGATTGCACCACTGCACTCCAGCCTAGGCGACAAGAGTGAAACTTCGTCTCAAAAAAAAAAAAAAGCCTGTTTAACCCCAATCACTTAACATTATATAGGTGCAACAAAAATAGATAGAAAACATTTTTTTCTAAAATATATATTAATATATTTGGTGGTTTGAATGATGGGTGCCCCTAGTTCTTCATTTTGTCTCCTATTGCATCAAAACTTTTGGCCTTCCTATTTCTTATTTTGGATCTGTCACTAGAAATATTTCTACATATAACAGACATTAGAAAGGTCTTTTTTTTTTGGGGGGGGGTGTGCAGAAGGCACTCACAAGTAGACTGAAACAGGCTGAGATAGAAGAAAGGTTTCCTTAAATAACTGGGGAATGTTGGAGATGAGAAGGGATGAAAGAAGAATAAAGCGATGTGTATCTATGTGAGAAAAATTATTTTCTTGATATAGAATTACTTGTTTCCGTGATCACTAGAAGGCAGGTGGTGATGGAGGCTGTGGTTGTGTGGGGATACTACCTGGGGACACTGGCCCTAGGAGAGACGCAGCAGGCCGTGCTGCCATGGGCACAGGATATTTAATTGCCAGAAGAAGGAAAGTAAGTATAACTTCCTAATCTTATGTCTGGGACATGCCCAAGTGTAACTCTCGCAAAACCGCAGTCACGTGGACCAAAAAACAGCACACAAATGTATTCACTAAGCCATCTCCAAACAACTCCAGTAAGAGCTAATGTGCTTTAAGGACGATACAATGAAGGCTTTAATGGAAAGAGAACAATAGATGAAAGTTCGTTCCAATTTATACTTCCCATACTTAGCAGCAGGGAATTCTATGTTTAATTTAGTGCACAAAAATGTTAAGTGTAAAAAAGAACTGATTTGCAAACTTGCCCATTATTGCTTAGTGCTTTAGAAATTTACTTCTTTCTTTTGTTTCCAGTTAATGGCTGGATTTTCTATTTCCCTTGACCACACAGTGTCTGTTAGGTATTACTTAACACAAAAATCTTAAAACAAACTTTACTGGTCTAGAATTCAGAAATCTGCTCTCAACCAAAACACAGGGAGGATTAAATTTTCTATTTTTCTTGAGCTAAAATTTGGTTAAAAAAAAAAGAAAAATCACTGAAAGAAATGTCTGCATCTTCTCCCCCCTTAGCCTCTCATTTATGACATTATTGGCCTGGTTTGATCCACAAATTTTTAAAATTTGTTTCCTAGGGCATAACAGATTAAAGGGACTAAGGTGGGTAGAATTAAAGGCAAGAACAGTTTCAGGAAAACGTTCTCAGTCCTACATGAAATAGTTTCCTACACAGATACAAAATTGTATTATCATGAAACACGCATGCAACATTTGTGGTCAGAATGGTGAGCCTGCATCAACAAATTAGTAAATTACATCAAATTTACACTTTCTTTTTTTTTGAGACAGGGTCTCGCCTTGTCACCCAAGCTGGACTGCAAGGGCACAATCATGGCTCACTGCAGCCTCAACCTCTGGCTCATGTGATCTTCCCTCCTCTCAGCTGCCCTAGTAGTTGGGAGTAGAGATATGCACCACCACGCCCAGCAAATTTTTTGTACAAACAGGGTTTCTCCAAGCTGCTCGGGCTGGTCTTGAACTCCTGGGCTCAAGTGATCTGCCTGCCTCAGCTTCCCAAAGTGCTGGGATTACAGACATGAGCCACTGTTCCCAGCTGTACATTTTCATCAAAGTGATTGTCTTCATAAGGGGCTGGCATTTGAATTATGTTTCAATCACCCAGAGCACTCCTTTAACACAAAAGGCCTCTATCTCCAGCAATGTCTGTTAAGCAGTACATCAATGGATTTCTTAACATTTTAATGTTTTCAAGTGACTCAATTTCAAGCAAGGATTTTAAAAATATATACAGATAAGCCATTTTTAAATTATCAATTTTTTTTTTTTTTTTTTTTTTTTGAGACAGAGTCTCATTTTGTTGCCCAGGCTGGAGTGCATTGGCGTGATCCCAGCTCACTGCAACCTCTGCCTCCTGGGTTCAAGTGATACTCCTGCCTCAGTCTCCCAAGTAGCTGGGATTACAGGTGCCCACCACCACACCCAGCTATTTTTTGTATTTTTAGTAGAGATGGGGGTTTCACCATGTTGGTCAGGCTGGTCTCAAACTCCTGACCTCAACTCATCTGCCTGCCTTGGCCTCCCACAGTGCTGGGATTACAGGCATGAGCCACCATGCCTGGCCTAAATTCTCAATATTTATTTATTTATTTATTTAATTAATTAATTTATTTGAGATGGAGTCTTGCTCTGTCACCCAGGCTGCAGTGCAATGGCACAATCTCGGCTCATTGCAACTTCTGCCTCCTGGGTTCAAGTGTTTCTCCTGCCTCAGCCTCCCAAGTAGCTGGGATTACAGATGCCTGTCACCATGCTTGGCTATTTTTTTGTATTTTTAGTAGAGTTGGGATTTCACCATGTTGGCCAGGCTGGTCTCAAACTCCTGACCTCAGGGGATTCACCTGTCTCAGTCTCCCAAAATGCTGGAATTACAGGCATGAATCACCATGCCTAGCGTCTCAATTCATTTCTAATAGTCATAGCTATAATCACCAAGTCTAGGAGTCAGATCTCTTGCCTTCAAATCCTGGCTCTGCCACTTGTCAGCACTGTTCTCAGGCACGTGACTCAACTTCTCTGTGCCTAGGTTTCCCCATCCACTGTTATGGTCTGGCTCTGTGTCCCCACTCAAATCTCACTTAGAATTGTAATAATCCCCACGTGTCATGGGAGGGACGCAGTAGGATGTAATTGAATAATGGAGGTGGGTTTTTTCCATGCTATTCTCCTGGTAGTGAATAAGTCCCACAATATCTGATGGTTTTATAAAGGAGAGTTCCCCTGCACATGCCCTCTAGCCTACCATGTAAGACATGACTTTGCTCCTTCTTCATCTTCCACCATGAATGTGAGGCCTCCCCAGCCATGTGGAAGTGTGAGTTCATTAAACCTCTTTCCTTTATAAATTACCCAGTCTAAGGTATATCTTTATTAGCAGCATGAGAACAGACTAATACATCTGTAAAATGGGATAACAGTAGTATATACCTCATAAGGTTGTGAGGATTAAGTGAGTTAATATTAAGTGTTCAGAATACTACCTGGCATACAGTAAGTGACATCTAAGTCCAGGCAATGTGCCAAGTGTTTCATGTTTTTTTATTTTACTTAATTTTCATATGTCCTAGGAGATACAGAGCAACACTATCCCCATTTTAGAGGCAATGAAACTGGCTCAAAGATTAAAGCAACTGTCAATGAGTAGACACAGATCCTAGGGAGATCCAGGAGTCCAGCCTGCATCTCTGTGTGTATCCCTATGCTCCACATAGTCTCTCCATACAAGGCCTATCCACTTCTACATGTGGTGGTCTCCAAACATGGTCTTGGGCTATGGCAACCTACAGATCTGAGCTCTTGCCTCAGGGAGCATGATTCTGTTTAAGGGTTTAAGAAAGAATATAACTTTGACTGGGCACAGCTGCTCACATCTGCAATCCCAGCACTTTGGGAGGCTGAGGCAGGTGGATCACTTGAGGCCAGGAGTTCGAGACCAGCCTGGCCCACATGATGAAACCTCGTGTCTACTAAAAATGCAGAAATTAGCCAGGCATGGTGGCACATGTCTGTAGTCCCAGCTACTTGGGTGGCTGAGGCACGAGAATTGCTTGAGCCCAGGAGGCAGAGGTTGCAGTGACGAAAATATATGCTTAAAAGAATTTAAGAAAACAAACTAAAATCAAAATCAGAAACAAATAGCTTTTTAGAACATATCTTAACATAAGAGATACCCTAACTTTATTTCGTTTAATACTCAGAATATAGCGTTACACTATAAGCTAACATGAGCCATCCTAATATATACGTATTATCTAAGGAGAAGCTTTCGTTTTGTGCTGAGAAGAGCAAGAGAGAGTACTAATTAGGTATTACAATTGCATTACTCTCTTTTCCACATCTTTTTCCACCTGCCGAATCTGAACAAAGATATGACAAGAATAAATTCCATTGTTCTACTACCACTAATTGCTGTACTTGTCACATTGCACTAGTATATAAAATGCTATACATTCTGTAATCTACTAATTTTAAATTAAAGTTATCTTTTCAAGAAGATTCACTCTCTCTAATTATTGTTTCTTGCTCATATATATTTTGTGCCTGCTTCCAAAAAATGATCCCTTATCATGATCTGGCAGGGAGGCAAATCTGCTTCCAACTCGACAGCATAGTGGCTGAAGCCACAGTGGGTAGTAAATGCTCCAGTTAGTATTGACAGGGGAGACAGAAATTCCAGGCAAGCATTGCAGAGCTAGAGGATCTGGGACCAATCCTCTATGCCCTAGTCTAAGAAAGTCCTATAAACTCCTAAAGGCTGGGCACCGTGGCTCACGCCTATAATCCCAGCACTTTGGGAGGCAAGGCGGGCAGATCACTTGAGGCCAGGGGCTCGTGACCAGCCTGGTCAACATGGTGAAACTCCCTCTCTACTAAAAATACAAAATATTAGCCAGGTACCAGTATGGTGGCATGAGTTTGTTGTCCCAGATACCTGGGAGGCTGAGGTGGGAGAATCACTTGAAACTAGGATGCGAAGGTTGCAGTGAACTGAGGTCTTGCCACTGCACTCCAGCCTGGGTGACAGAGCTAGACCCTGCCTCAAAAAAAAAAAAAAGCCCAAAAAACCCTAAGGCCAGGTCAGAACCTTATAGATTACAGCCTGTTTATCCTTGCAATACATTTTCTCAGTTATTAAAAAAACAAACAAAAAATCTACTAAAAATAATGCATCTTTTTGACACAACTTGCCTTCCTGTCTCTTCTACAGATGCAGTGAATTGTGTACACAGGAAATGCCTTGATTGATGGGACTATTTTTTCTTTCCCTAGATATAGAAATACACTCCACAATGATGCACTTTGAAGGTAGGAATCCCACTTCTACTTTCTAAATACTTTTTCTAAAAGAATTTACCAATGATAAAAACAGCAGGTTAAAAATCTAAGTTGTGAAACCCTCGGGAAAGCCACCAGCAGTGCTGGGCACCAATGGTCTCCTCCCCTCATCATCCAGGGAATACAGCCTCTCTCTCTCTGAGTTTTCTGCTCTCTCAGAATAAGACTGAAAAACAATAGGCCAAGAGCCAGGAAACAGAACAGTATACTAGCTGTTCTCGGTGCACATAACTAGTAGCTGATAAACATAAAACACAGTACAAATAAATCTTTGAAAATATAGTATTATACATCCTATTTTATACACACACACACACTTTTTAGAGTTTTGCTCATCACCCAGGCTGGAGTGCAGTAGTATGATCTCGGCTCACTGCAACCTCCGCCTCCTGGGTTCAAGTGATTCTCCTACCTCAGCCTCCCAAGTAGCTGGGATTATAGGCACCCACCACCATGCCTGGCTAATTTTTATATTTTTTAGTAGAGACTGGGTTTCACTATGTTGGCCAGGCTGGTCTCCAACTCCTGACCCTCAGGTGATCCACCCACCTCAGCCTCCCAAAGCGCTGGGATTACAGCATGAGCCACTGTGCCAGCCACATCCTGTACTATTGAGCCAATGTATCTGCATTTCATAATAAAATATTCTAAGCCTTACCAAATATTTTTTAGAAAATTCAAAAAGAGATACAAACCAGAAATTTGTAATCCAAATTTCCTCTATTTGACTTGTCTTACAAAGTTACAAAAAAAGTCTCACAATCAGTACGTCTCTGGATTATGGATTGCATTTTATTATTTATAGGGTAGTCTATTTCTTCCACTAGATTACAAATTTCTTGTGGCAAGTATCTTTGTGTACAGTAGCCATAAAGTCTGTAAATGACTAATGTCACCATTTAAAAAAAATAGACGAAAGCCCCCTTCATTACTTCTACTGGAATATGGTAAAAATGAAGGTTTAATTAATGAGAATCAGACTCACAAAGAATCAGAGACAACACAAAGCAGACACATGTGCAGGGATTGGTGGGAATTCTGCATCAACGTAAAATGTCTGTTACAATGGTGCACAGCACACTGAACAACATGTTGCCATAAAGGACAGGATCCTGAACAGATCATGTGATGTCGTACAACATAGTAGGTATTGCAATGCAATATCAATAAACCATTTATTATATAAATTCACTTACGTTTCCCGACTGTACGGACACCCTGTAGGTGCCCAACGAATATTTTCAAAGTTAAACTGTAAGTCATTAACGTCCCTTATGGTCTAAAATCTTCTCTGGAATCAACTTTTTTTGCTAACAACATCATAAGTTATAGATGCCACTTAGAAAAGAAAGATAATGCCAGTGCAGGCAGAGACGAGAATGGAAACCTTGATTGGAAATCATTTGACAACATCTATAAAAAGCCTTAAGAATGTATATATGCTTGGACTCAGAAGGTCTATTTCCAGAAATTTGTCTGAAATAAATAA